GATGATTGGTGTAGTGAGAATTCTTGTGTCATAGGTTGGATTTAGCTCAATTTGGAACCACATGTTGCCACTACCACGGCATTTTGTGATACCTAAGGAAATATGGGACTCTCTTGCTGAATCTTTTTCTAATCAAAGTAATGTCTCTTAGTTCTATGAATTATATGAGCAGATTTTTGCTATGCGTCAATCTGGCCAGTCCCTTCCCCGAGTATTATAGTAGTCTTCAGACCTTTTAGGATCAATTGTTGCAACATTGACCCTTCACTACTGATGTGAACAAACACAAGCAACATTGGGAGCAGTTGATGATAGCTTCTTTACTCTTCGGCTTAGACCCTAAATTGCGAGGGTTCAAGGATCAAATTCTTGCTAGTGAGACTCTACCTTTTGTTGCTAATGCCTATTCTAGGCTGTTACATTCTTCTTGGGTCAGGCACGACCTACCACTAGGTCCTCTACTTTGTCATCCTCTGCAATGGTCTCTAGTCGTGGAGATCGTGGACCTACTCGAGGGGGTTTTCATGGCCCATCTGGCCCTCGGGGCTCTTCTTACGGTTCACGAGGTTTTCGTGGTGGTGGTTCCCGTGGTGAGGGTAGTAGTGGAACTAGCTCTCGCACACGTGGTGATCGTTAGTGTACTCATTGTGGTTCCCAAGGTCATACTGAACCTTGGTGTTGACAGAAGTATGACAAACCTGACCATGTGCATCAGGTTATGGATGCTCCATCCTCACAGTCCTCCTTATTTTCCATTGGTTCTATTGCTTCTCCAGTTGATTCTCATGAGACACTAAGATTAATGAGCTTACTGTGAATTATGTATTTTATATTATTCATTAAGGGTAGTTTAGTAGTTTAAGTTATTAGGGTTTTATTCTATTTAGATTATATATTTGTATTCAACCCTCTTGGTTGTATTATTCAATAATATACAAATTCTTCTTCTTTGTTATCTGTTTGACCTCTATGCTCCAACTTGAGTGGAAGTGTTAAAATAGTTATTTTTTGTTTTATTGTTCTTCTGTTAATATTTACTTAAGTTGAGCATATGATGGTCATTTCACTATGTTAGGGTTTGTATATATATTTTTGCTGATGTAGAGTGAACAATCATTCCAGATATATATATATGAAAATTACTCTCTCTTCTTTTTCTTCTTCTTCCTCTTAAACCTTATAAACCCTAACAATAAATTTCTCCATTATGCATTCTAACTTATAATATTATAATGGAAGATGTAGAAGGTGAATGCAATATTAAAGATTAGTGGAACGGTGGTGGATGGGCCCCACACAAACCTATTTTATATATATTAAAATAAATCAACATTGTTTTCCATTGACTGGTAAAGAAAAGAAAACAAAGAAGAGAGAGAGGGAGGAAGAAAATGAAGGAGACAGAGGAGGAAGAAAAATGAAGGCGGAGATGACAGACAAGGAAGAAAAATGAAGGCGACAGAGGAAGAATAAAGAACAGAAGAAACGAATCGAAGAAAAGAACAGGTTAGGAGGCTCTCTCTCTCTCTCCCCCCTCCAACGTGTTAGGGCTTTGATCCACCTCTCTATTTTTCAAGCTTTATCTTGTTACAGAGTGTCCAAACGTGTCTTGGCGTGTCGAAAATGTGTCCGACTGGAAAAGTTCAAAAAAAAAAAAAAAAAACACGGGACACGTCTAGTAGAGTGTCTGACACATGTCCACAGCGTGTCCGACGCGTGTTCGTGTCCAACACATGTCGGATACTTGTACGCAGCCTCCGGCAAGGTGTTCGTGATTCCTAGCCAGGAGACATAGCAATGTCACTTCACCTGACATGTATCTTCTCAAGAAATACATCTTTTCTAAACCAAAGCTTTTCTTTTACCCATATAGAGATTTGGCCTTTCAATTCAACCCCTCTACCATCTCCTTCTCTCTCGAACCCTTTCATCCTACTCTCATCTCTCTCTCTCTCTTTATTTCATGTAGCGCTCTCGCACACCCCTGCTCTCTCTCTATGCTTTTGTCTCCTTTCTCACCCCTCTCTATTTCTCTCATATCAAATTCCCACAATCGTCTCTCTTATATCTATTACGATTTACACTCTCAATATCTCACTTCCTTGCCTCCCTCACGATTTGTCACCTGTCCTGTTTCTGAGATCATAGTAACGGTGCTGACGGTGGCATAAAATCGATGATTCTGAGATTGTGGTTATATTGCTGTGTTCTTGTTCTCCCTCATCCCCTGAAATCCTTAGGTCTCCCTCTTCTGAATCCCTCATCCTCCTATGATGTTACTAGAGCTTGGTTACAACATTGACCGAAGTCCGAGTGAAGTTTAGACCACCCAAAATATATGGTTTCAAACCATTGTTCGGTTGATATTGGATGAAATATGCATCAAACCGATGTTCATTACAAAGAAGTTTTTTTCTTTTTTCTTTGAAATTTTAGATAAAATTGGTTAGGCTTGGGTCAAGGCTACCTTGCCCCAAACCTGATCAGGTTCTCCATTTTCATCCCCGCAGCCACTCTGACCCTACTAAAAAAGCCTGCAACCCTGATCCCATTAGGTTCAGGGATGGTCGGGTAACTGCCAGGTCAATATTTGTCATCCCTAGTGATAACGCAGCGACTATGGTTCTCCCTTTTTTTGTTACATTATTTGGGAGGTTTTGGATTGTCTTTGTGCAATTTGATATGCTATTGGTTGGGAGTCATGTGACTCATGCCTAAGAAGTCTGACAGCTTTTTGGTCCCTGATACCTCCTACTTTGGTATACTAAGTGGCAAAGCCATTGCCCAACTAAACTACATAAATCCACCTTTTGCTTTATGTATTTTTCTATTTTCAGTAGTTAATAGTAGATCAATAGATCAATCCATTAATCTTATTCAATTCAGATTTTACTTATTGAAAGAGTTCATTTCAATTAATTAATTTAATTTGTGCACCATAGTTTTTGAAGGTGCTCTGGATCCACAAGATAAGGCCTTTGCTCGTCAAGGTGCAGCGAAGCACTTCATTCTACCCTAAGCAAAGCTTGTCACTCAGATATTTGGAATTATGTTGCTTAGATATTTGGATTATGGAATCCTAGGGCTAATAACTATTAGAGGAATTTTATTGCTTCTAGTGCTTAATTCTGAATATTTATCATGACATGATGTATAAAAGAATTTTTTATCATTGTAGAATGTGATTATTGCAATTCAACTATGCTGCTGGGTATATTGGATGAATAGGATATATACATTGATTTTATATCATGCTAGAATCCTTTCTTAGCTCACATCTCATGCTGCAGCTAACAATTTGTGATGCCAGATGGCTGGCGAGAATGGAACAAAAAAAAAAAGAGAGAAGAGAAGAGAAAAGCCATACAAAATAAAAGAAACTTTAATTCTCTAATCTATATCTAAAATTCAAGTCAATATCATACCTGAAACCATTACATAAAAGGCCTATTTATAGGCATCCAAGAAAACCCTAATTAGAAGTTACAGGAGATAAAAATTACCATAATTAAAGACTAAGAGAATAATAAAACCTATTTAATTATAAATAAGTAAATAACATTTCCAGTTCCTTCTTGTTCCCCATCACTTGGGCTCTAGGAGACTTCCAACACCTTAATGTGACTTGGCCTTTGATGAATTTAACCTTCACTTTGCCAATGGGCAACCAACAACAGGGTTTAAAGTACCCGAAGCAAAAAATAGTAAGAAAAAAAAATTTGTCTGCACATAGTGGAAATGACCTACTTTGCTTGGTCAGCTTAGAGAACAGAGTGTTTATTGTTATGATCAATTTATTCCAAGCTCAAGAATTTTTATTGGGTGTGAATTCCTTGATATTCATTGTATCCTAATTGTTTTGCTTATTTTCTGTACTTGATGAGAATGCTACAAAACCCACTTTTGAAGTGCCAACACATAGCCAGGGAGTGTTGTCAAATTTTGAGCCTTTTAAAGTGATGTGTTTGACATCTCATGTTTGTTTTGGATATTGACGCCTGTTAATGTCATTATACAAAGTCGATGAAGCATGAACACTTCAAAATAGGCGCCGTAGCAGTGTTTGACATGGGGACATGTATGCGACATGCCATGTGGCGTGTCCCTTTAATTTTATTATTTCTTTTTCATGGGACTTGTTGGGGACACACGTGTCCAATTCTAGACATGTCAAGGGACACGACAGTTTTTTTTTTAATTTTTGTAAATGTCTTTTGGGGTGTAAGTGTAAAATTCAGGAAGTCAAAAAGAAAAGGATGATCGAGCCTCTACTTTTTCCCTCAATCCCTAAATCAGAAGAACAAAATACAGAGAAGAAAAGAAAGAGTGGTTATTTGTTAAATGTAGTGGTTTATATTAATCTATATTGCAAATATGTATTATATAAAAATAAAAATTAGTTGTGTCCCCCGCCGTGTCCGTGTTCCCATTTTTTTGAAATCACCGTGTCCCGTATCCGTGCTTCATAGTACAGAGTTTTCTTCTTTGATGGATTCCTAGAATTCTGCAATTATGCTGCTAGACACCATGAGAAACATGGAAAATCTTATTGTTAAACACATGCCTTAACAAAAGAAAAAGGAATAAAAAGTCCTATATAGCATTAACCTCCTAGCAGTTTTGTTTCACCTCAATTCGTTGAATTTTCATTCTATTCCTTAATCTCAATGGAAGAATCAATCTTGACACATCAAGTCCGAGTCATCCCTTTCCTCACCTGCCACTTTCAATCTGATTGCTTCTATCAATTGCTATCTAACACATCCTCAGGAGAATACTGTGTACTTTTTTTTTTTTTTCTTTCCTTCTGTTGTAAGCTTTATTTTTAATCACAGTTCATGTTTGATGGTTTAAATATTTTTTTAATGTTTATTTATTATCTATGATAATTATAGTATATTTCACTTAGGATGATGTGTTTTTTTACATGATATGCATGCCTCTCATTTGAATTTTATTAAATTGGCATCAGTTTTCAGAAAATCATGTAATTTTTGCAGGGCTCCATCTGTTTTTAGTATTCTTTTGCTACTGCTTCGTGATTCTCCTAACTATAAGATCAGGATCCAAGCTGCTGCTGCTTTGGCTGTGCCAGCAACAATACTTGGTTAGTAGTAAGAAGTACCTTTTTTCCATTTGACCATTGTTTGGACTGACGGTGTTTTTGATTGCATTAATAAGAGACTCAGAAATTCCTTATTTCAACCATTAGAATACAACTGACTCTTTCTTTTTCTCCCTTCATTATGTGTTACTTAAGGGTCGGTCATATGAACCATTCAATTTCTTTACTCGCAACCTTGACCTACATTCTTAGTGCTTTAAACTTGAATTTCATTTTTTGTAATGCAGTCGTGATTACCATCACAGCTCTCTTTATCCTGTCCTTATGTAGCATTTATTTTCCAGTTAATGGGATAATTCTCATTTATGTTCGTTGTTGCCCTAAATATCTATATGATACCTCTTTCTTTTAAACCGTACTACATTCTACCAGGGCATCGGAAAGCTTATTTTTGTTCCTACCCCTCTTATAAATTATTCTTCAAGAGAAAATAATATTTCTTTGACTATTTAAATTTCTTAGTATGAGCTTTCACTGATTCTGTTGTTACTTGATATGTTGTAGTCTCAATGTCATTGATTTGGTTGAATTGAAGTGCATCGTGGGAGTTAAATGGTTGGATGAGAAACCCTGATATGATACCTACACAGGACTGAATTTGGTTTATCTGACAAAATGAAAATATCTGAGGTGTGCCAGTGAGCAGCGATACTCTTTTTTTTTTTTTTTTTGGTGTGTGTGTGGCAGCAAGAAGTAACACAGAATGAATCAGGGAGAAAAGAAGACACAAAAGTAGAAGTCACAAAATGAGTACAGTATCATGAAACATAGCAACTGCAAAAATAATGGGCTTCAACATCAAAATAGAACTAATGAAGGATATATAGCGTAAAAAAAATTATGCTGGTAATTTTCAGACAGGAATTCACAAATCTTGTGAATGATCGATAGCACCCCCTTTTGAGTGCGGCACCCTCTCAAACATGGAGAGACAAACTAACATACTATAACAAATGATGAGAGATATGATGAGACTTAAACCATGATCTCTTATAATGAATCTTTGACATTACAGGAAATAATACGAGATTAACAATCAATAAAGATGACAAACCACCGATTATCAAAAAGAGAAGCAATAGGAGGACACACACATCAGTATGAATAAGCATAAATCATAAAAGGATAAGGACTTCTTCAATAACTGAAGGATAACAAAAACAGTTATGCTTAGTGTTCACAAGCATTGCAAACAAATTTATTCCTATGACAATGTGTCATTGATTATGGAAAAAGCTTTTTTTCTAATATGCAAGAAGAGGGGTGCTCCAAGCGACATGCCACTAATGGACCCGTTTGGTTTAGCTGTTAAAACAAATTATAGATTATAGCTTAACAGATTATAAATTATGACTTTAATTAGATGCTGTTAATCTGTTTGGTGTAGCTGTTGGATTATAGATTTAAATTGCTGAGTAGTGTTTGTTAAATAAACTGTAAAATAGTTTTTTGCTGTGTAATGTCCTTTTTGCCCTTTTAAGATATAAAAATTGTAATTTTTTTTATTTTCTTCAATTTTAATTTTAAAAAAAAAATTATTAATAGAAGTTAATAATGTTATTTCATTAATAGCTGTTAATCTCTCTCTTTCTTTAGTTTTCATTTCATTACAACAATTGTTATTTCATTTTTTTTTTTATTTCATTTAATAAAAGTTATTTCATTTTTTTTTTCATTAATATCAATTAGCAACAATTTTTTATTTATTTATTACAATACTAAATAATTTTATAAAATTCTTTTAATAGAAGTTATTTAATTGAAATAAATTTATATCAATATTAATTGAAATAAAATTGTGCAATTTATTTCTTTATTTAAATTGTGCAATTGTGCAATTTATATCAATAATTGTGAAATGAAAATTGTGATTTTTTTTCATTACAATACAAATTAATAATATAAAAATTGCTAAGTTTTTTTAATATATTAATTCATTACAATAATTTAATTTATTAATAACCAAACCCTAGCCACCACGCCCGCCCTCTGTAGAACCGGAGAGTACACAGAGAGAGCTAGGGTTAATCGTGAAGAGAGAGAGAGAGGGGGCTTCAGATTGCGAAGAGAGGGTTTAAGATAGCGATGCTTCAGATCTCAAAGAGAGGGTTTCAGATCGTGATGGTTTCAGATCGCGAAGAGAGAAAGAGTGAGGGTTTCAGTTCGCTAGGGTTTCAGATCGCATTGCGATGGTTCACAACGCTGGAGAGAGAGAGAGCTCTGGTTCCTAATGCCGGAAATCGTCGATTGTCACGTTGGGAATCACCTTTTTCACGCCGAAAATCACCACTCTCTCTCTCTCTCTCTCAAAGTGAACAATGACCTTTTGTTGTTCATATAGTGGCGATTTGGTATTACTTCAAATTGGTGAAGGGCATTCAAGTAATTTTGGCCCTCAGATGGCAACTGCGCAATTAAGCTAAAAGAAAAAGCTTCTCCTCTCTCACTTAAAGAAAAAGCTGATTTTTGGCTTACCAAAAGCTATAATCTGTATTATTAAGTTGAACTAAATACACCAAAATAGCTTAAATTAAGCTAAAAGTTGAAATAGGTTGAAAATAAGCCCTACCAAACAGGGCTAATGTAAGAGATGTAAAGGTAATCCACTAGCAGCCTGAAGAGCCTGACTAGATGATAAAGGCAATGAAGGAGTAGCTGATGAAAAACAGGGAATAAAGGAGTTGGGGCATAATAATAATAATAATTTACTAAACACCATGTGCTCTGTCACCACCGAAGAAAGTCACGGAAAATTTGAAAGGATTGGTAATATTGTTAACTGAGAGTTAATTAATGGAGAATTTTGGAACATGAAGAAGAGAGGATAGCGAAATTGAGGAAGAGTAGTAAATAAAATCCTTTCCCAATACTAAAGATAATAGCCATCAATGACTCGGACGTCGTCCTTACCAGAGCAAGGGGTGTAAAAGTGATGATGAGTCCAATCAAGAATAAGAGAGATAGAATGTAGAGAGAATTTAGAGAGAAGATCTCAATCAATCAATGTTTATTATCTCAAAAAAAAAAAAAAAATTGGTTACAAAGTGGTTATGCCTCTTTTGGATATAGGCTACAATTTCCTTCTACTAACTATCACATGCTATGCACATGATATCCTACATCATACTCTCGCACTCAAAAGAACTTGTCCTCAAGTGAAGACAAAACAAAACACAACTAATGCACTAGAAGCGAAACAAAAACTAGAAAGTACAATACAAACAAATTCCACAAAGGAAACTAATCTACAATGATAGAAGCGGAGTTGACACAAGAATCATCTGGAAAATAAGACGCAAGGTGTTGTACATTAAAGGTGTTGGAGATTCCTAACTGAGGCGGCAATTTGACTTGAGAAGCATTGTTGTTGACTTTGTGCAACAAGGACCCACCTTTCTATCACTTAACTTGTTGTAAGCACCATGTGGATACCTTTCTTTGCTCAACACAACCCACACAAGATCCCCCACCTCAAACAACACTTTCTGTTTATGCACATCAATGGCCAATTTGTATTTGGCATTGGACTTTTCAATTTGGGCCCAAACTTGAGCATGAACATTCTTCATGAATGTAGCCATGTCCTTCGCTTAACACTTGATGGTTTCATTCCATAAACCACTTCAAAGGGAGAAGTATTTATGGTGCAATTGATCAATGAATTGTAAGTGAACTTGGCCAAAGGAATAATACCATCTCAACTCTTGGGATGATCTCCCGCAAGACACCTCAATAAGTTTCCAGGACTTCAATTCACTACCTCCGTTTGGCCATGAGTTTGACGATGAAACGTAGTGCTAAAGTTTAAGTCGGTGCCAATTTTCTTCCACAAAGTTCTCCAAAAGTGAGCAAGGAGCTTAGTATCTCGATCGGACACAATAGAGTTAGGCACTCCATGCAACTTATAGACTTCCTTGAAGACGAGGTTAGCAATATTTGTAGCATCCAAGGTCTTTCTTGCAAGGTATACAATGTGCTATCTTGGAGAAACAGTCCACCACCACCATCATAGAATCACTCCGCCTTTGGGTAATAGGTAAACCCAACACAAAGTCCATATTAATGCATTGCCAAGGACCATCCGGCACCGGTAAAGGCATATATAACCCGGCATTAGTTGCAGTCCCTTTGCTTCTTTGACAAATTTGACACCGCTTCACATGGTTGTACCCATCGTTGGTCATACCCGGCCAATAATAGGCTTCTTGAAGTAACCCAAGGGTCTTGTCTCTACCAAAATGTCCCTACTTATGATGGTCAATCAACAAATGTATTTTCAATGAACAACTAGGAACACACAACTAAAGGCCATTGAAGAGAAATCCATCCCTTAACATGTAACTTGGGTAAGTAGCCCTATCCCCCCTTTGCAAAGCATCATAAATCTTGGAGAAGTAAGGGTCACTTACATAGAATGTACGAAACTTGTCAAAACCCACAACTTCATTCTTCATTTCAATAAGAAGAGTCGTTCACCTGCTCAAACTATTGGCCACTTTATTAGGAACCCCCAATTTATGTCGCAAAGAGAATGTAAATTGTTGCAAGTAAGCCATCCATTTGGCATGTCTCTTGTTGAGATGGGATTGGCTATTGATGTACTTGAGGGCCTCATGGTCGGTGTTGAGCACGAACTCCTTATAAGCAAGGTAGTAACTCCAATGCTTGATGGCTGGGATGATGGCATAAAATTCCAAGTTATAAGTAGAATACTTGAGCTTAGCCCCATTCAACTTTTCACTAAAGAAGGCAATTGGCCGCCCTTCTTTGCTAAGGATGCCACCAATGCCCAATCCCCGAGGCATCGCAATCAAGTTCAAAGGTTTTGTCAAAGTCCAGTAGTGCCAAAATTCGAGCTTCGATAAGCACCTTCTTCAAAAGTTGGAAGCTATCGGTGGCTTCCTTGTTCCATTCAAGTCTCAAGCTTGAGAATGTTAGTTAAAGAGGTAGCGAGGCTACTAAAGTTCTTGATAAACCACCTA